AAGTTCGCTCAAGTTCATAGTTGTTGATGGAAGTGGGAGCATTAATCGGTTATAGCTGTCTATTACACTAAAAATACTGACTCATTTTGCAATCTATAAACTCACTGTAGGTAGACCTTGCCTGACCGGGGGCCGATTTTCGGCATCCTCGTCATCGCGCTTATCGACTGTGTTCGTGATGGCGTTGAGATTGGAGAGAAGACAAGAGGAGTCTGTGAGACGGACCAACAGACTCACAACCACACCCGGGTCGACCTCCGAGAGGGGTGAGGAAGCTGGGGCGGCTAAGAGGCTGGCTAGAGTAGGGATAACGGCATCTGCAAGACAGGCCTGCCTCTCGGGTTTTGAACAGGAGTAGTCAGTGAAGAAGACGCCCAAACTCTGGCTCAGGGTGGGCAGATCGGCGGTCTGGGAGTTAAACCAGAGCAGGAGGATCCGGCTCAAAATCTGACCCGATTGAATCCGGTTAAACAGGAAAAGCTTGCACACCCCGAGAGCGGAGGCAGTTCGCAGGTCAGCATCCTGGTCAGAAGACAGACAGAGAAAGTGATGGAGTAGGCTTAGGATTAGCTTAGAGGTGACTGCCTATGATAACTGCTAACACAATAATTTACCAAACAAATGGTACCACTGCGGTTGCATATACAAATCTACATTCGTGCTAGTAATAGCTTCAGGGTCTACTACTACTACTGACAGTAATAATACGACTTATGCTTTACTACTAATAACACAACTAGTTATAAAACAATAACGGCCGTTGTTGCTGTTGCTGCTACTACCAATAGCCATCAGATTGCCCCCAAACGTACAAAAACCACCAATGCTACGATTAGCACACTGACGACCAATAACACTTACAGTATTCTTATTTTCCGAATGACCGCATTTTAAAACGTCTCGTCCAAAGACAGTGAAGATGATGGGATGCGAGGGTGAGGGCTAGCTGTTCAATTCCGCCTTGAGACCCTTCTGGGTGAGTGAATTTACCGAACTAGCATGGCCGGGAAACAAAGTCTTGTGAGCGCAGACACCATCCAAAGTAGCGCTAAGCTGACTACAAGGAATGCATTAATGGATATATGTAAAAGTCAAACGTCTGACGGTAGGATATGAAACTAGCGTGCTATGCAGACCCCCTCATTACGTTGGAATGGAGCGGTTTTCCGGGGCGAAATCACATCCGAGGCTGTCGAGGACCAAAGTTACAGGCCAGCGATTGGAGATAGGCAAAGTTGGATGGCAAAGAAAGGAATCAAATAAAACACAAACCTCACTGTCCATTAGCTCCAGGAGTGGAGCTAACAAGCGGAGAGAAAGACCAATTTTCGCGGAAGGACCGTTACAATTTGCATTTATTTGGGGGCCCTTAATTAATTCGAGGTCGGCTACAACAGAACGGTAAAAAGGCCCAGTTAGCAATCGAGCATAGTGGGGGGGGGATAATTTTGAGAAAGCAAGCCCAGTAATTTGCACGATGACTCACTTATGTCAAAGTCCGTCTCCTCGTAGGTGTCAGCCACCTCCAGAAAGTGTTGCAATCCGAAAATGAGGAAGATGTCGACCAAGCACTTCATGGCCGTAACACCGATTGTCGCATGGTCAAATTTCACGGCCTAGAAGATAAGGCATGAAAAGAGATTGCATAATTACCCCTGCCATCCTTAAAAGAAGCCACAAGCATTCACTGGGTACTCTGAAGTGGACGATAAATAGTAAGCCGGTTACTGCCATTTCTTCTCTTTTCAGCATGAGGCGACATTAAATAGGTTTAAATTAGGGGCAAGACTGACTTTAGAGGCTCTAAATCCTGTCAAATTCTTATAAAAAACTACTTTTAAATTCTCAGTGGCCCAACTTTCCCTAGTTCGTTAAATTTCACCAATAGAAAGTCGAATGTCCATTTTCGTTAAATTCCGCCAACATAAGGTCAAATTTCCCTCAATTTGCATCTGCATCCTGCGCAATCGGAGATCATATTGACTGAATTTTGTTCTATTTTAGTTGATTAAAACAAACATTATCCACTTCCGCGACAAGTAAATATTCATTTACACTCAATAGCCAAGAATTAAATAATTGACCACAAAATATGTTAGGCAGTTGGGTGGGAGGAATAGAAAGTTATATGGCCCTACAAGTCAGTTTTGTCAAAGTAAGACCTAAACGGAAACAGTGGTCGAGGGGTATTGAGTTGGTGGGAGACCTCTGGAGTGGAAGTTTTTGAACACTGATTTATCATAAACAGGCTCCAAATATTCCTTTTTGTACTCATTTGATAGCCAAACAGGTCTTCAAAATTTTTAACTAAAATCAATGTCACATTTCGGCTTTTAAAAAGTTTCTAATCATCAGACTTTCAAGAGCGCCGAAGGTTCATTCAAACAGCAGAGTATGTGTCCGTTTATTGGTGCTGTAACCAACCTCCCTTGCCAACGTTTATGAAGAGTGTATGTTGCCTTCTCATAGATATAGAGAAACGTATGCTATTCCTTATATGGAGAGCCTACGGCTTAGAGACTGAAAACCTTCAATGCAAAATTATTCGGGATTGGAGAACATTCAAAAGATGAGAACAGTGAAAATGTTGTGTTTGAGTTCTAATTTCTACTGACATAAATGAAGAAAAATGCAAAACATCAATGTTGATAGTACGCAGTCATGGCAGCGTCGGCGCTGAGTAAAAAAAACTTACCTCGTAGAATATAGAAAGGAACTGTTTTGAGAGC